GCAAGCTGCATTTGCCCAGTCAAATCTGGCAGGACGTGCCAAGACTTGGGCACTGGGGCTCAAGTTGCACGACCCATATGCGTTTGGGTCGTTGGAAGTCTTCAAGTCGCGACTCAGACAAACGTTTGAACCGCCTAGAGATGAGTTCAGAGCTCGAACCGAACTCTTGAAGCTTAAACAGGGTAAGCGTGATGTGCACGCTTACGCTCAACATATACGACATCTCACGAGTTGTATAAGTTCCAATCCGGTGGATGAACACACGTTGGTTTCGGTGTTCATGCAGGGTCTTGCGGATGGTCCCGTCAAGACTCACCTGTTCCGGCTTGAACTAGATTCACTAGAACAAGCCAGTTCCATTGCGGAGCAGGAAGACTTCAGTCTGAGACAGGCTCGCGCCAGCTCGACATCATATCGTCAACCGAGACGATATGACAACGGAGGTCCAGAGCCGATGGAACTCTGTTATGTAGAGAGCGAGAAGGCTCGCTCTACAGGCTACAAGAGGTTGCAGAGATGCAAAAGATATCAAAAGACAGGACACTACGCTTACGAGTGTAGTGCCCCTCGTCCAGTGTCTCGCGACACTGGGCGTAGTGACCGTCCACCCATGAGAAAGGGGCAGGGACGAGGGTCCGCTGTTGGTGCAAAGACGCAACAACGGGATGGACCGTCAAAAAACGGACAGGATCAGTAGGTGCGGAGCACCCTACTGATCCAGCAACGTCAAGAGAATTTGTAGGCCTCTTGATGAAGGTTGCTCCCAACACACAAACGTTGTGCGTTGCTGCTCTAGGTAATGAGGTCTCACTCATTACCTTGAAACTCGAAGTGACGAATAAGTTGTCCCTTCGAGCTCTAGTCGATTGTGGGGCGTCCAACAATTTTGTGCGACGCCAATCGCTAGAAGATGGTCACTTTAAGTTCAGTGAATGTGACACACCTCCTACGAGGATGACGGTACGTCTTGCGACAGGCGCATCCGTAATTGTCATGAAGCGTATAGTGAAGATCCACTATACGCTAGAAGATAACCAACATGATGATGACTTTATCGTATTGGATTTGGATGACAAATTTGATGCCATCCTTGGAATACCGTGGCTCAGAAGGTACGAACCACGGGTAAACTGGCAACATCGGACAGTAACGATGCCTGCCGCTTGTTCATCAGATGGCCATCTGATGAACGTTTTGGAGCGTCCACAAGCGTGTGGATGTACTACGAGTGAGTGCGATGGCCTCACTTGTGGTACGGTCGTTAGTACGACTGCACAAAACCTTAGTGTACCAAACGTTTACACTTCGGAGCAAAGTTCCGGCGGCTGTGAGGAAACACAGGCTGCGCCGAAGGTCCACCACTCGAATAAGTCGGGTGGACCGGGACAAAGATGTATCCCTAGCGGGGAACATCTAGAAGAGAAACTATCGATCGCTCAGGTTAAGCGAAACGATAATCCTAGATCGACTGGAGAGTCTTTCGTAGAGGATCTCGCTGTGGTTGCGCAACCCCAGCTAGAGGAAATTAAGGGAATAAGTCCCGATTTTACAAATACGGCGGAAATAAGTTCCCCGAAACCCGAGGGAATAAGTCCCCGGGAAGACGAAGGAATAAGTCCTTCGAAGCCTGAGGGAATAAGTCCCCAGGAAATGACAGAGACATTGAATGTCATAGTCAATAACGGATCAAGTGTAGGCGCTTATACACTTGATCTGATTGCGCCTCCGAAGTTAACTTCGGAGATCACTCAGTTGCCAACGCTCGAACATAAAAGGTTCTTGCGTGATCTGCGTAGTGGCAAAGTCAAGCAGATCTGCATACTCGTCGCTGACGACGAGTGTGTAACCGACATAAGGTCAGCAACAGTGTTCACTGAGAACGAGAGAGTTCTCAGTAGTTCATCTATGGACGAGAGTGTCCTAGATGAAAAGGCACGAATTGAGCGATATGACTCCCAATCATGGGAATCGCTCAAGGAAAATCCTCTCTATGAAGATTTGGTTGAATTCAAGGATGTATTCCCTGAAACTGTTCTGTGCAAATTACCGAAGGATAAAGGTACTCGACGCGAGGTCGAGCTTAAACCAGGCTCGAAGTACTGTGTCATGAAGCAGTGGCCACTGCCTCGTGAACAAGTACTTGCGATCGACAAGTTCTTTCCGATCGTTTAGCTGCGTGCCATGTGAGGGAATCAACTTCCCCACATAGCTCTCCGACCTTCTGTGTGCGAAAAGCAACAGGAGGGTGGCGGATAGTGCATGCATTTAACAAGTTGAATGCTGCAACGGTACCGGCTCAGACGCCGATACCGAGGAAGGACGTAATCATTGATGGTATGTCAAAGAGTACCATCTTTTCGTCCATGGATTTGATGGATGGCTTCTATCAAATCCTTATGCGGGAACGGGATATACCCTATACCGCAGTAAGCACGCCTAGCAGCATGCTCTGGGAATGGCTTCTATCAAATCCTTATGCGGGAACGGGATATACCCTATACCGCAGTAAGCACGCCTAGCAGCATGCTCTGGGAATGGCTAGTAATGCCACAAGGGCTCAGTAATGACCCTGCCACGTTCAACAGATGTGTATCACATCTGTTGAGACCAGTACGAGAATTCGCGCCGAGCTATTTCGATGACGTATTCATCCATAGTCGAGCTATGGATGGAAAGTCGGACGTTGAGGTTCACAGGTACCACGTCCGACAGGTTCTTATAATCATGCGAAAGCATCAATTGTATGCAAACCTCAAGAAGTGTATATTTGCCGCAAGCGAAATACCACTTCTTGGGTGCATCGTTGGTAAGAACGGTGTACGTCCTGATCCCGAAAAGATCAAGGCGATCACCGACTGGCCTGTGCCGGTTGATGTCAAAGGTCTTCGAAAATTCCGTGGGCTAGCGGCGTATTTGCACGAGTATTCACGCAATTACGCCGAGATGACTGTGCACCTCTCTCGTTTGTTGAAAAAGAACGAGAGGTGGTTATGGAACGCTGAATGTCAGCGCTCCTTTGATGGTATCAAGCAGAGCTTGATACAATCTTCAGTCCTAGCAATTGCCGATCAGGACAGGCCATTTCATGTGGTCTGTGATGCCAGCGATTTCGCAATCGGCTGTGCATTAATGCAGTACGATCTTGAAGGCGTTGAACGCGTCGTCTGCTATCAGTCGCGTCAGCTGCAACCAGCTGAGCGGAACTATCCAGTGCATGACAAGGAACTCCTTGCCATGAAGTATGCACTCGCGAAGTTCAGATTCTATCTATTAGGAGATAGACCCTTCATTGTTTACACTGACCATGCGTCATTACGCACGGCAGTAAACATACCGCACCTTACACAACGAATGGCGCGGTGGTTGTCATTCTTTGCAGAATACAACTTTACGGTCGAGTACAAACCAGGACGACTTAATGTCGTTGCTGATGCACTCTCACGTCGTCCCGACTTTGAAACAGTCGCGAAACCCAACAGTGAGACAGTCACTGTTGCGGTTATGACGTCCTCAGTCCCATCTACAACGTTGTATGATGATGTGAGGCGGGCATACGCCCAAGATGGTGAGATAGTGAAGTTGTTGACACATCTCTCCCAACCATCTCGAGAATCGTTGAAACGATTGTCGTCTGCGTATCGATCTGCATCAGATCGATACACTACTCGTAACGGTTTACTGTACTATACAGCCGTTTCTGGTGACACACCACGTGTTGTCATTCCAGATGATACTGATCTGCGTTTGCGGATCATGTTCGAGTATCACGATGCTCCTATAGGAGGACATCGTGGCCGCGAGAAAACATATCTCACGGTAAGTCGAGACTTTTACTGGCCCCGACAGTATCAGTTTGTGCGAAAGTATGTTCGCGCATGCGAAGTCTGTCAACGAGTGAAGTCAAGTCCTTCACTGCGTGCACCTTTACAGCCTCTACCGGTTCCGGCTGAGTGCTGGGAATCCATCTCAATGGATTTCGTCTTCGGGTTACCCAAAGACGCACGCGGGAATACGGGTATTCTCGTTTTTGTTGACAGATTCAGCAAAATGGTACACCTAGTGTCTGTACCAGAGTCAATCACGGCAAGTGGCTGTGTCTTTGTTGACACCATCTTCCGACTTCATGGGTTGCCCCGTGAACTCGTATCAGACAGAGATCCACGATTCACTGCTGATTTCTTGCGTTCCGTGTTCAAATCACTCGGAACGCGCTTGAAGATGTCAACATCTGATCATCCAGAGTCAGATGGTCAGACGGAACGTGCCAATCGTGTCCTTGAAGAGATACTTCGAGGATACGTACACTCCTTTAAGAGTTGGAGTGAGTTTTTGCCAATGGTAGAGTTTGCCATTAACAACTCGGTGCATGCGTCCACGACACATACACCGTTTTACGTGAATGGCTTGCGCCATCAGCATGTACCCACCTTACTAGATTGTAACTCTGGTTTAAGGGGGAGGGACTCGCGCGAGCAAAAACCGATTTGGTTCACGCTCATCACGCTCTGACGAAGAAGTCATTGCGTTTGATGCCGATATCGATAACATCGATATCGAAGAAGATGATGCCAGTGAGAGTGCGGAAGCCCTCACTGAAGACAATGATCCCAGTGAGAGTGCGGAAGCCCTCACTGAAGAAAAGGTTGTTGTCGCTGCAGTGCGCTCACAGCACACTGAAGCTAACGAGTCATCAGATGAGTTCATACTGGCTCGTGAAACGGTAGTCCGTTTTGTGCAAGACTCCATCGCCGAAGCGGTGGATAAGCAAAAGCAAAACGCTGACAAGAATGGAAGGGCAAACACTCTTTTATTTAATAAAGGTGACTTAGTCCTACTGTCTACGGTTAATCTACCAAAACATGTAGTGACTAACTTGGGTAGCAGTAAACTACTACCCAAGTACATTGGCCCATTTCGTGTATTGCACCGCCTAGGCAATGCATACACGATCGAGTTACCACGTAAGATGCGAACGCATCCCACGTTTTACGTTGGTCGGCTTAAGCCGTACCATCAGTACGCTGCTTCTTCCGATGAAGAACGCCCTTGCGCTCAAGCATCTCGCAGAGAGCCTTGTGCTCCCGATGGTGGGCATCAACAAGGGTCTGAAGAGCAGCTATCTCATCCCGAGACCGATCAACAATCCCACGAGCTACCCTTAGCTCGTCACGAAGAGATGTCAGAGATCTCTCGTTCTCGAGCTGAGCAAAGGCAAACTCAGCTCGATGCTTCGAGGCAGTGTCCGCCATTTGGAGACGCCTATTCCGCTCATGTTCGAGATCGTCGCGTAACCCTTGCGTTACGCGATCAAAGAAGCTCTCAGGAACACACCGATCCACATGATCGTGTGGAGAGCGTCTTTCCTCCTCCTCCACCTCCATTAGAGGACTCTCGCGGTGGCTAGCGCTATCTAGTTGAGCAGCTGTTGAACCACCGCGACGTGAACGGACGTCGGACGAGTTATCTCGTCCGATGGCGCGGCTATCCCCCGTCCTGGGATTCTTGGGAGCCCCGCTCCCAACTAATGATCGACGTACTGGGTCTGGTTAAGCAGTACGACGCGGCACATCCTGTGCCGCAGAAGGACCGCCGGAGAAAGTCTTCCCGGCACGATCGTAAAAGGATTTCAAGTTCTCAATCCCTTCGTACATCTCAGTAGAGATACGTACGCGCCACCACGGGCTATTAGGGAGGTAAGCCTCCTTAGGTGCTCGTGCAGAGTTGTTCACACAACATGGGCACGAGTCTCCCCAAGAGAGGCAGGGTAATCCTTTCTCCCTTGACAGACGATGCAGCTTGTAGCGTGCACCTGTCGGGGTTCGCTTTTCAAACTTATCACGAGCTTTGATAAGTTTGTCGTTCCAAGCGTCACGACCTACATCCTCGAGGTTATGGATGTAGGCGTTGCACGCTTGAAGCAGTGAGGGACCATCACGTTTGTGATTCCCACTGTACCATCGATGTTTGAAGAAAGCATCGATGAAGAATTCATGTTCAGCGCGATAGTTTTTCGCGCTGGGATCAAGGTGATGGATCCTTGACGAATCGAACAATCGTGTTCGATAGCGATCACTTGCAGTCGCCGACAAGCGATCCATGACGGATTTCGGAGGCATCCATGCCTTCTTTTCTGGAGCGAGACGCAAGTGTGCCGACAGAAGTACTGGCACCTCGTTGCGAAGTGGTGTCCATAGGATAACCGACACGACTCTGAGCGCCCGAGTCTCGCGACCTCGAGCGCCTTCGCTTCAGCGATGGTTCATCTGATGAATCAGATGAACCAAAGATGCTACGACGCATAGCATCATCCATGCCACGCTTGGCAGGCGGCTTGGATTCGATCGCCGTCGATACGGATCCGTCTTCCGTATCAGGAGAGTACGAGACACCGAGCTCATACTCTGTGAAGACATGAGTATCTTCATGACCAGCGCCTGTATCACCAAGTGACACAGGCTGAGTCGCTTCAGCAACCGATGAGACATCAGTTGCTGTGGTTTCTGCTTCGGCGTCCGCACAGAGACGTGACGCGCTCTCGGCGGCCTTGCTCGCGCATCGCATGGGATTGTTTACCATGCGATGAGATGTTGGAAAGTGGACGCGGACCAACAAGTGCAAACCCTGTCCCAAATGATTTGGGACGAGTATCCATTTAGTCAATCAGTCGCTAAAGTGACTGATGGTTAAGGGGGGGGTGATGTAACGGGGTGAATCGTTACATAACAATTTATAAGAAATTGTTAATAGAATATAACTATAAGAGTTTTATTCTCAGAATATTGTCATAAGGACAAATATTCTGTAGCACTTACGAGTAAATCCTAATTGGTTGATATAGGCCATTATATCAACCAACGAAGACGCGCCACGACAGACGCACGCAATGAGTGGTGAGCAGATAACTGATTTACACATTTGTATTTAGACATAGTTAGATGAAGATAAATAGTGATTTATTGCAGACATTAACTATTATAAATACAGTTCTACTTTTTACTCTAACCAAGTACTCGCTTCTTCTTACCGTCTTCCTCTGCACGTACCAGTGTACGTGAAGTTACGAGGCGCCGCCTTATTCTGTCATCAGAATAAGTAGCTTGTACTGTCACCAGTACAAGCTTCAGGGTGCCCCGTTACACTACTGTTGATGCATTTGTGTAGTTAGAGATAGAGTTGGACACAGGTAGACTGTCAGTTGGAGATGTTTGACGCGTCCCGTGATTCTAGTAGACCTACTTTCTTCGCAAACGTAGCTTGAGCCCCAAAATATCCCGTTACCCTAGGTGCTATGAGGCAAGGTCTTAGCCACACATGGCAGCGATGGCATCGAGTCAGCACCGACCAGCCGGCTAGTTTAAACGTCTTTCGTTCGAGGGGAAAAGCACGGCCAAATGCCAATTTCAAGGCAACAGTTGGAATTCGTGGCGGTAATCCTTTTGTAACTTGTGGTCTTGCCCTTTTGAAATGTACGGGCCATGTAAGCTGGAATACCCCCTTGTAGGCGCTTTGCGCCAGCGTTCCAATCGCTTCGTGTGCCTCTTTACAAGCCTCGTGTGTCTTACCCGCGCCAACAACCGCTTCTGCTTCCAGTGTTTCGGTATTGTCTGATGTTTAGTAACGAACTGATCGATAATAATAACACCTTTTAGCTCCCCCCTTCTTGCATCCATCCGCAAGAATTTCAGTGCAATACCACAGCTCGAAATCATGGTCTGAATATTTTGCTCAAACTGTACAGCATACCACCTCACACCACCGCAAGGCGTAAGCATCGGATTAGTCTCTTCTGTCACCGAAGAGTCTATTCATTCGGCCGCCGCGTGTCGGATCTGAGGCGGAAATGCGAGCACTTCAGAACGATCGGCACCGCGTCGAGCTACAGAAAGTCCGCACTCTCCAGATAGAAGATCAGGCTCATCAGTCTAAAGTCAACTTGGGACCACGTGAATCGCTTCAATGTGCCAGGGCAGCTCTGGCCTCCTCTCTTTCTCTTTGTCGTCTACACACTGACGTGGGTGCCACGTTTGAGCGGCATTTGCACTACCGCCGTCTAGCATCATGAAGCCCACCTCAGTCGCTAAAATACGGCTTTTACTGCGCAGCCAAGTTGGTGCGGACATTGCCGTGTCATGTTGCGCCTGATCTATCGTTGCAGGACGCTTCATCGACTCTGTGACATGTATACCCGTGATCGATGTTTTCAATGCGGTGCAAACAAATATCTATTCGCAATGCATTTCCGGTATTGAAGCAATGTGTGAGAAGGAGTGACCCATCGGATAGTTGTGTCAAGCACACGTGAGAATTTGCTGATCCCTCACCGCCTACGTAAGCGTGTGTCAGTCCATAAACCATCGCATATGTGCAAACTCGAGCCTAACTTGTGCTACATGCCCAGCCGCATGCTGCAAAACCCCACTAGTTGTCGTTATCAAGTCGGTTCCCGCTGCCACCCATTAAACTACCAGCGAGCGTCTAACCGCCAATAGCCTCTCCGAATCAGCAATCCAGCGAGCGTCTAACCGCCAATAGCCTCTCCGAATCAGCAACATTCCAAAGGAAGTGATCGATTCTAGATGAAGTTGGCAAAATGCAAAGTGAATATATTTAGGTCCTTAGTTCACAAACTCCTATTGCTAGTCTAAGCCTACTGAATTCTTTCTGCCTATACGCTAGTAATCGCCACATTGCGCATTACTACTGGTATAGAGCAGATTAGTAATCGCCACATCGCGCATTACTAATCGTCTAGTCGCACATTACTAAATCTAGGCGGTGTGTTTCTAACAAGCACCTAAACTTACTAAATGTGGGGGACGTCACTGTCTGGCAGGACAGTGCTGGTGAACCCCGGCACACCAGTACCCGAAGGTATTAACTTTTATTGCAGTCACTGGATATCGAACCAGTGACCTCTCGTATGGTGCTGCCACACCATACCACATGAGCTACGTGCATCTTACAAAATCAGCCTGCCGAAGCGTTTGTTTTGCAACACTCCCACTCGCCTCGGCAGACCGTGGCGCCTTGATGCCCAACATACTTCGAAGACACTGGAACTGTGATGCAGGAATTGGCTTGGTCATTAGGTCAGCCTTCATGTCCTTGGTCGAGCAGTATTCCAGGACCACTTTTCCTTCTGCCACCTTTTCACGCACAAAGTGATAACGAATGTCGATGTGCTTGGTCCGCTTGTGAAACTCGGGGTTCTTGGCCAAAGCGATGGAACCTTGATTGTCTTCGTAGATCTTGACTGCTTCGTCGCTATTCATCTCGCCGAGTTCATGTAAGAATGCCTTAAGCCAAATTGCTTCTTGTGCAGCTTCAGTCAAAGCCATGTACTCGGCTTCTGTAGACGATAGAGCCACGGTGCTCTGTTTCTTGCTTCTCCAGCTAATGCATCCGTTGTTCATCACAAAGGCGTACCCGCTTGTGCTTCGTCTAGCCTCGACATCTCCAGCCCAGTCCGCGTCCGAGTAGCCTTGCAGCTTGTCATCACTGGTTGCTTGGAATTCAATTCCATACGTCCTTGTGCCTTGAATATAACGGAACACCCGCTTAAGCGCTTGCCAATGGGTTGGACAAGGTTCTGCCGCGAACTGACTGAGAACTCCCACTGCAACTGCGATATCCGGGCGGGTCCCCACCATGAGATACATCAAACAGCCGATGGCGTTGCGGTATGGCACATTTGCCATTGTTTCCGCATGCTTGCACCCATCTGCACACATTGACCTTGTCAACTTGAGTCCAGGTTCTTGTGGAGTCTTGACAGGATTGCTGTTTTCCATGCCAAACTTCTCGAGAATATCTTTTGCAAATTTGGACTGACGGACTGAAATCGTGCCGGCTGAGAGGTCTTGATCAATTTCTATCCCGAGGAAGTACTTGAGGTCGCCCAGGTCAGTCATGTCGAAGCGTTCACTTAGCGCCTGCTTAGTTGATTGTATCAGCTCGAAGTTGTTACTTGCGATGACTAAATCGTCAACGTACAGCGCCACGAAGATCATGTCTTGATGATGTCGCTTGACGTAGATGCAGTGGTCAGTTTTGCATTTTCGAAATTTCAAGTCCAGCATAAACTTGTCGATGGTATGGTTCCACATTCGTGGTGACTGCTTCAGACACATACAGAGAGCGCTTGAGATGACAAACAAGCTCCGGATGATCTTCATCAACGTAGCCATCCGGTTGTGTCATGTAGATGTCTTCATCAAGGTTTCCGTTCAGGAAGGCTGTCTTGACATCCATCTGGTGAAGCATCAGATTGTGCTTTGCCGCCAAGCTGAGTAAGATCCTGATTGACGTAAACTTGGCCACCGGAGCAAAAGTTTCTTCATAGTCGATGCCATGTTTCTGCAGAAAACCTTTGGCCACCAAACGCGCTTTGAACCGCTCGATAGTCCCATCCTTGGTTTCCTTGACCTGAAAAACCCATCGATTGCCGATTGCCTTGCGCCCCTTTGGTAGCGGTACAAGCTCCCAGGTCGCATTCTGGCGAAGTGAAGTTATTTCAGAATCGCATGCCTCTTTCCAGTGGACTGCATTGCTGGATTCCATTGCTGACTTGAGCGTTGTCGGCATTTCTCCCACTGAATCCACGATGTAGGCCGTCTCAACGTCGGGACTGTCATGCGCTGTCGCAGACATTTCAGCCATGGTGGGGTATCGACTTGGTCTTTTCGACTCTGGAGGGTTCGCTAAGGCTTCGAGCGACTGCGTGCGTTGGTGCCTCTTTCCCCTGATCGCATCGTTATTATCCTGCGTAGTGTCCTCTCGTCCCGTGTCAGGGTTGTTGGTATAAGTGTACTCTTCTTCAGATAACTGTTCATCTTCGAGGACAGCTTCATCTGGAACGTAGTCACGTCTCCCACTATCGAAAATGTTCTCCATGAACTGTGCGTCGCGACTTACCAGCACACGTCCGCTCCTGATCTCCTTAAAACGATACGCTTTCTCATGATCGGAGTACCCGATGAACCGGCAATGAACTGATCTTGCGTCTAGCTTGGACCTTTTTGGCTTGGGCACATGAACGTATGCATGACAACCAAAAACCTTCAAGTTCGCAAGAAGAGGTTTCTTGCCAGTCCATACTTGGTATGGTGTCTTGCCATGGTCCGTAGATCGAGTTGGACAGCGAATGCGTAGGAAGTTTGCGGTCATTACCGCCTCACCCCAATACGACTTGGACATCGCAGCATGTTCCATTATGCAACGCGCGCTTTCCACCAACGTCCGATTCATTCGCTCGGCGACACCGTTCAATTGAGGAGTGTAAGGTGGTGTGAATTTCTGCACAACACCATGGTCCGAACAGAACTTGGTCATCATACCGGAGGTGTACTCTCCACCGTTGTCGCTTCGAAGAACCCTCACGCGATTGCCAGTTTGTGTCTCCGCCAGCGCGACAAACTGAGCGAACTTGGTCAAAACTTCAGACTTGTTTTGCATCAGATACACCACACAATAGTGCGAGTATTCGTCGATAAACGTCACAAAATAACGTTTGCCACTGAAGGTAGGAGTGTGCATTGGCCCACATACATCGCTGTGAATGACCTCCAGCAGTGTCGTTGCGCGATCGGGTGACTTCGTCATATAGCTCACCCGTGTTTGCTTGCCCAGAGCGCACCCTTCACATAGCTCCCACTTGTTTACCGAGGTCAAGTTGATTCCGTTGCAGCAATCGTTTTTGACGATAGCATCTAGTCCCCCGTGTCCAATGTGACCAAGTCGAAGATGCCAGAGGTAGGAGGTGGTGCTTGCTTTGCAGGTATTCGAGCTTGCCACGTTGACCTCGTCGGGCAGTTCCGGTACCATACAGAGCTTGAACAGTCCTTTTCCTTCGAGTTCGCCGAGTTTCCACTTGATACCCTTTGTATCAGCAAAGCAACCATCAACCTCGAATGTGACCGGTCCAACGTCCTTGATGAATCGGCCAACAGAAAACAGGTTGCGCGACAACTTTGGGATATGCCACACATCCGTGAGCACACCCTTCTTGACCCCTCGGTGAGTCTTCATTGACATAACGATGTCACCTTTTCCAATTGCTTGGACCACACCGTCATCAGCAAGATGCACATCCACAGGGCCAAAATCCTTGTAGTTCCTCATGAACCTTTTTGAATTTGTCATGTGCTGCGTCGCACCCGAGTCGACCAGCCACATGTTGCTCGACTTGGTCTTGTCACCACCAACCGAGAAAAGATAATCGCCAAGCTCTTCTTCTTGCGCGATATTCGCACGCTGGAACCTCTGTCTACCAGCGTCTTCTTGGATCCGCGAAGGGCATTCCGCAATCCAGTGTCCTTGTTTTCCACACTTGTGGCACGCACCGGTCTTCTTCATCGGTCGAGCCTTGCGCTTGTTATCTCGAGACATGAATGCTTGAGCTTGACTGTGCGCGGATCCTTCAATTCCGCCACCTTGCTCCTTGCGCTTCATGTCTTCGTGCAACAGCCGAGACGTCACTAGCTCCCACGTGAGGGAGTCGGCTCTCGACTCCAATGCTGTAATCAGGAACTGATACGACTCGCTGAGGCTGGCTAGAAGCGTGATGACCAAGTCGTCCTCGCTGACCGGAGCACCAACTGCGTCGAGCTGCTCCGCCAGAGTCTTGAGTCTGTTGATGTGCTCAAGCACGTCATCACCTTCTCCCATCATTGTCGTGAAGAAGCGACGACGAAGGAAGAGCTTGTTGGCCAAGCTCTTCTTCTCGTAGTGTCCTTCCAGACGTGACCATGCATCATGCGCGTCCTTCGCCGAGCGAACCAGTGGCAACTGCGAATCCTCCATTGCGAGACAGATGATAGCTAGCGCCTTTCGCGACTTCCGCTTGAACGTTGCTTGATCAAGATTGCTGGTGCAGTTCTCGAGCTTGACCTCGCCGCTCACGACGTCCCACAGATCTCGCTCCTCCAGCACCATCTGCATCTTGAACTTCCATGTGTGGAAGTTCGTTCCCGAGAACTTGTTGATGCGAGCTGCGGTGATTGGAGCAGAGTCCATCGAGAAAGCGTGATCGAAGTCTTGGCCAGAGTCAGCGGAGCTTGGACTCATAACCTAAAGGAAGTGATCGATTCTAGATGAAGTTGGCAAAATGCAAAGTGAATATATTTAGGTCCTTAGTTCACAAACTCCTATTGCTAGTCTAAGCCTACTGAATTCTTTCTGCCTATACGTTAGTAATCGCCACATTGCGCATTACTACTGGTATAGAGCAGATTAGTAATCGCCACATCGCGCATTACTAATCGTCTAGTCGCACATTACTAAATCTAGGCGGTGTGTTTCTAACAAGCACCTAAACTTACTAAATGTGGGGGACGTCACTGTCTGGCAGGACAGTGCTGGTGAACCCCGGCACACCAGTACCCGAAGGTATTAACTTTTATTGCAGTCACTGGATATCGAACCAGTGACCTCTCGTATGGTGCTGCCACACCATACCACATGAGCTACGTGCATCTTACAAAATCAGCCTGCCGAGGCGTTTGCTTTTTAACACCTGCTGCCACCCATTAAACTACCAGCGAGCGTCTAACCGCCAATAGCCTCTCCGAATCAGCAACATTCCAACGACCGACAAAAAACACACACAACACATTACACCTAAGCAGCCCGAGATCAAGTTTAAGAGGCACATGGGTCTTTCAGCTCCCGTCCCATCCACCGTTCCATTCACGTCATCACACCATCATTTCCTCCCACCTAAAAAGAGCAGGAAACACGCCTTAACCTCTAGCTCATTGAAAAAACCCACACTTTCCATCTCAATCAATTCAGCGCGACCACACGACATCACTCGACGTCGTGCTGTCTGCCCTCCCAAAAAAGACCCATCCAATCACCCCGCCAATCACCCCCAAAAGAAAATAAAAAAAGAGGGAGAGACGACACCTCCAAAACCGCCGCCCGCACTCCGTCCCACTCGGCGACTCTCGATCATGACGCACCGCGGCGCTTCGTACCCGCCACCCGCGCCCTCGTCGTCGTCCATCCTCGCGCTCGAAGCGTCCGGCGCCAACCCCGAGCTCCTGCGCAGCATGATGGACTGCGTGGACACGTCCCTCTTCTCGCCCGCGCAACTCGCCAATTGGTCGCACATGAAGACGCGACTCGCAGCGAACGCTCCCGACGCGCCGGGGCCGCTCACCAGCAACGAGAACGAGCTCGTGGTGATCAAGACGGAGGCGCCGCTCGACCGCAGTCAGGGACTTTACTACACCAATGGCAGTGGGCTGCGGAGTACTGCTACTACTAGTACTGGTAGTAGTAGTAGCGGTGGTAGTCACTCTGGTACCGCTATGGAGGAGGAGAACCCGGTGGACTTTCGTCCGCTGTTGCACCGGGAAGCCAGTATTCAGGACGTGCTGGCGTGTCTCTTGGACCAGCAACCGCCATCGGGGCGACGGCTGAATGTGGGCAATAGTTTCCTCGAGACCTCCTCGACCGCAAGCAAGTCCAGTACTGCTAATACTAGTATTACTTGTGGGGGGAACGTGGTGGACCCTAAGCCGCCATCGCTGCAGGAACTACTGAGTGCTAGTGCGTTTTCGTTGACAGAGAAGAAGGAGAGCATGCGACAGCTGCTGAGTTTCATTGACAGCTCTTTTGCGAGCAACACGCCCGAGCCCTTGACTCAAGTGTACAAGGACTGTGAAGCTGGGACGTTGCAGCGACTGTCGAGTCTCCAGCTCATGCGGAGCTTCATGACGCCGGCGCCGTCGTCGTACACTGGTGGCGCGAGTGCCCAAAGCAGTCGTAGTGGGGGTGGGATGGGGACTCGCACCACGAGTTTCGAGATTATTCAAGCGATGCTCAATGCTACGTCGAACCAGGCGATCCAGAAACCCATGACCAGTCAAGATAGTTTTCGCTTTCAGCATTTAGCACGGACACTCGAGTCGATTGAGACTGACGTGTCAGTGATTGACAATGAAGATTATGGCGGCGATGACGTGGTGCAAGTGGATAATCTGGACAATTTGCTGGATTATCATGGTGCAAATGGGAGCAATGGGGCACCGACGTCGGGTGCGACGAACGCTGGGTTTGCTGGTGGGACGCAACCACAGGTGAACCCGTCGCGCACCATCTATTCGGAGATGAACTCGAAGGCATCGAGCAATGGCTCGACGTTTTCGACGTTTGGGCAGAGTCTTAGTCATCAGCAACACACTGGCTACAATGCTGGGACGTCTTCATCATCGGGCGGGTTGCCCACGATTGATATGATGAACCAGCAGCAACAGAATCTGCCGTACCATCAACAACAACAGCACCAGCAGCACCAGTTGCTTGTGCAGCAACAGTTACTTCGTCAAGAGCAGGAACAGAAACAGCAGCACCAGTACAACCGATTGTACCACAATTCGCTGCTGCAGCAGCAACAGCGAAGTGGAGTGATGATGTCGGCACCGGGATACGGCGGCACGAACCAGCCGATGCCGCAGTTTCCGAATATGCTCATGCAGCCTGGCGGTGACATGCTGTCGCATAAGCAGCAGATTATGCGTAGTGGGCACCCACAGCAACAGATGCGGCTATCGACACAGGGTGGCAGGCCGATTAGGACGGACGCGAATGGAATACCGTTATGCTCAGCGCTGGGATGCAACCACACGGCACGCATTAAGGGTATGTGCAAGTTACACGGCGGTGGTCGACGATGCAAAGTCGATGGATGCATGAAGAGTGCACAGACTGGTCATTTGTGCATTGCACATGGTGGCGGCAAGCCGTGCAGTGTGGAGGGCTGTCCGAAGACAGCACAGTCGCGGGGTTTGTGCAAGCAGCATGGTGGTGGTGTACGGTGCAAGTTTGAGGGCTGCACCAAGAGCTGCCAGTCAGGCGGTTTCTGCCGCGGCCATGGCGGTGGCAAGCGGTGCGAATACCCTAGTTGCACCAAGTGGGCTCAGAAGAATGGTCACTGCGCTAAGCACGCCCAGGAGATTGCTTCGCAGCATCTACAGCAGCAGCAAGCGTTGCAGACTCAGATGCAGCAGAAACAGCTTGTGCGTCCTTGAATTTGAAGGCGTCGTTGATTGAAGCAAATCACATAGCGCAGCTGCAAAAGTCGTCGTCTGCCGGGTGCTGCGCAAGGTGACGAAAGCAAAGTGGGTAGACGCAAGAGCGCAATATTGCAGTACAGCCGATAGGATGATCATGTAGTAGGTAGTAGCGATTCCAGTCAAATAATAGCCAGCTGAAGTGCATTCTAGTATGGGATCATGAAGTTGGTCGGAGCATTCTTGTGTGTAGTAACTGTAATGCATTGACACCCTACCGCCATGGAACCGTGCGCCCTAGTAGAACCTAAATACACGTCGTTTGTGTAGTCGTTTGTGTTGGCAATACCGACGCAAGGCATTTCCCCAACAATTAGATTCGAAGTACACTCCAAGTCATAATGATACGGCTACCCACATTGGTGGTCATAACTCCATAACAAATGCGAGTTAGACGCTGTCGTATGAGTATGATACGCGCAAAGCTTTAACATACCCCCTGCAGTGTTAAAATCCGATGATATAAATTGATCTCATAGCTCACAAACGAAGAAAACACTTTTTGTGCTTGGCAGAAAGCATGCGGCCAAAAAATGCAAATTTCAAGTAAGAATGTCAACGGTTTTCTGCATTCCTATTTTGCGATGAGGAATAGGAAAGCGCAAACCAACCCAGGGCGTGGGAAGATTTAGGGCTTGCATTAAGCAGGCCTTACAGGGCGCGCCATCGCGCATGCTGTCAATCAGTCACGTGACGCAGTAATGCGTGTTGTGAGCGGTCATGTCGGCCAAATTTATACTGGCAGACCACAAATTCTGTCCGATTGTGCTCTTCGTGTGCTGCTTCGCAAGGCAGCGGGCAAAAAAACTCAGCAACACAGCTGCATCATCATCTCGAGCTGAAGTACTTGGTTCACACTGTGCGCCGCATCCTCCAATGTGTAGATGGGCTGTCGTGCACAAAAATGGAGAATTCATCTTTCGACTATGCACGGAGATGCTGATCCTTCCCGGTGCATGGGTGTCAATCATATTTTTTTGACGAAAGTAAATGGGATTTCGATAGACCAGGCGTCCTACAGATCTTTTGGATCGACACGCGTGTACATCTTAGGCAGACGAATCGTCTACAGATAGGCGGAGGGTTTGTTGTGGTTTAGGGTGGTTTTAGCGGAGTCGGAAAGACTGAGCTGGCCACGTTGGTGGGGGGAGAATCAGGGGAATATTTCTACACGATATCCGAGTTTAAGCTGCCTTTTGCTCATCGCAAATACGGTGCAGAGTTTCTATTTCAGCAGGAAAACGCGGTCATCCATACTTCTTCGATGTCGACGGACTTCTTCAACGAGCAGGCGTGAATGTAATGGACTGGCCTGCTCGTTCTTCGGATTTAATTTCGATCGAAAATGTGTGGGCTATAGTGTCCAAAGAGGTATACCGGAACGGGTCATAGTACGATTCTGTATCAGCTCTAACCTCGGCAGTCATCAAAGTGTGAAAGAACATACAGCAAGAAGCACTGATGGCCTCTCCATGCCGCACCGTTGCATCGAAGTCCTCCGAAAGCAGGGAAACAAGACACACTACTAGTCTGATTAATATTTCAATTCCTCATCGCAAAATAGGAATGCAGAAAACCATTGACATTTTTGCTTGAAAATGTATTTTCGGCCGTATGCTTTCTGCCGGGCACAAAAAGCGTTTTTTGTTTGTGAGCTATGAGATCAATTTATATCATCGGATTTTAACACTGCACAGGGACGTTAAAGCTTTGCGCATATCATACTCATACGACAGCGTCTAACTCGCATTAGTTAAGAAATTATAACCACCAATGTGGGTAGCCGTATCATTATGACCTGGAGCGTATCGGCCTTTGCACTTCGTCAGCCGTGCCCTTGTTCCGTCGCAAAAGCTCTCCGACTTCTGGTCCTGATACATTACATGATAAGATAGGAGAGCAAGCTCTGGAGCTCGCCCTTTGATAAAGTAATCTAGTTCGGAGAACTGAATCAAGTTGCAAAACACTACACGACAGCAGACACTGAAGAATGGACATGATGTTGTTAATGCAGGTATCAACCTATCATTGTAGACTAGGGCAACGCGATCAGCTTTTGTTGATGAGCGTCTTTCATTTGACTATGTGATCTGTTCACCTTTGCTCCATGATTAGCCGATCACGAGCGTGTGCCACTATAGTGATATACCAAAAAGTGACTTCAGCAATACCTATACCTAAGTGGTGGGGATTGGCTAAGTTGCACTTAATACGTGTGAGCTGCACGTAACCGCTTTGTTTACAGACAGACGGGCAGACAGACAGATATGTATTTACGATCTATAAGCTCGGCATTTCAACTTCGCGCACACTCACTGACAGCATCACCCTTTGGGCTCGCAATAATATTGACCGTGATCAAACACACGCAGCAACTTGAAGGATGTTAACGTTGCGGTAGTTCTCACAAGTTTAATCTAGCGGGTTTGAGATGATGTCTTGTACAGTTGAAACATCCGCTTTTGCTTCTTTGAAGGTAGCACATGTAGCTCTACTACTTATGTCAGCTACAATCTATGTACCACTTTGATTTTCTCATGCTTTCAGTTTTAGCAAGCACCTTCTGATGCCGACCTGCTCGTGACACTCTCAAGCTAGTCATATGGCGTACGCAACGTTTAGGATGTAGTCGTGAAGAACTGTTTGCTATCATTTAATCCGGGTGCGTCTTTGATTGTCTCCGATGAGGACCACACACCAAGTGTGGTGTTTACGTGGGATCAATTACTTGATGTAAGTCCAGCCAGCATACCTTGGAATATATCGTTGATACCTTGACACTGACACGCTATTGTACATTGTCGTGATATGTGCAAGAGAGGATGCAAACGAAAAGCAGTTCTGTTTCTAGTGTCTGATACTCAAGCATCACAGCGGGTCGATTCAATGTGTGCTGGCTTATGTCATGCGGATGAAAGTATTGTCGTAGGTAATTGTAGCTATTGTAGCCAGATGCACACAATCAAGAGGAATTCTAGTCGCAATCATGACCAAGAAAGTTGTAGGTAGAGTAAACGTTCTACGAAATAACATGCTACCAGATTGAACATGTGAAGCAAGCTAAAAAAACGCGGAGGGCATCTCTTAGGCACATCGAACATGTTTAAGCTCGAAACCTTATCGTTCTTGTAGCGTGGAACACCTTATTCAGCAAACTAAATAAAAGTTGCACTGATGACAGTGCAGTGGTGTGTGCGTCAGACTACCTCACGTACACGTCGTGCAGAGGATCATTGATAAACGGAGTAAGAGTACTCAGTAAAGGTAAAGAGTAGAACTGGATTTAGTGTAGCTAATCCTTTAAATCAATCCCTATTTGACTTCATTTAACTGTGTCTAAAAACAAACATGTATTGTAACTATCTTCCCACTACTCATTGCGTGCTTCTGTCGTGGCTAGACTTTATTGGTTGATAAATTGGTCCTTTATCAACCAATAAACAGTGTATTACATCTGCGAAGAAAGATTATCTACTGGATAGCATTGTAAGAACATTGAGTTTCTCCTATCATAGCATTCATACTTGATAATTACCTGATGAAAATTATCATGTAACAAAGGCCCCCCGTTACAGTGCCGGTCGTCTTTTGCTTTTCATCACCTGCGACATTGCAGACTGAGTGTGGTCCTAATGCGAGCTGTTGATGTCAAGTGTACCGATCTCGCGTTGTCTCGACCGTAATCAAAAGCCGGAAGATTGCTACATCTGCGGACTGGAGCCAAATTGTTGTGATTTGCAGTCAGGATCAAATGCTATGTGTAAAAGCGAGCTATCTTCTTTGTTTCAGCACAGGGGCTCTACCCCTCGGCTGTGGGCAATCAATCACTTATTCTTTGGCACTATGACTTCGAAATTGATTGTCTTAATCAACTGCTCTTGCTCACATCTTTAACGCAATTGGATGCTTTGATTTAAGAATGACCCCGCGTCTGTCACTGAGGCGTAACACTGTTCATATTCCAGCCTTTTCGTGGCGTCTCCGCATTATTCAAGTAGTCGTTCCCCCTGTCTAAGGATGTGTCCGGACAATTACTGCTGTATCAAAGCCGCGTCGGCCGAAGTACAAGCGCCGCTTGCAGATGTCTTTAGGAATGACGCTAAGTGGTACAATCACTCAAAACAAATGCCACCCGATCTCGCCTTAGCATCGACGATTTCTAAGATCAACGAGACACCAAGAATCTTACATTACCGAATTGGTACTGAAGGCATTGCTTGATGTGAAGCCAATATAATGGGACACCACAAGGCGCAGCCTTTTACCTTATAAGATGCTAGCCGGATGGTATCAGACCCTGAATCTGAATCTTTGGGGCATAAGGCACTCAGACCTTCATTCTATTCGTATTTATTCTAGCTTTACTCACTGAACCTTCTCAATATCTAATGAGGTGTAGCTACATACTCTGCATGTGCCTGATCATTTGGACACGCGAAAAGTAAAGAGAGAGATCGAGTCGAACCTAAAGGCGTAGCGTGTCGACTTATTTTGTCGCTTCTTCGAGAATTTGATGGAACTATACTTCTGCTATTTTGATGCTTGTTACCGCAGGGACCTTTGCTTCGTCTCATCGATTCAAATGTGCCTATACCATTGCTTGAAGTCATGACCCAACTTAACTTGCGGTGCATTGATTGATTGACCGTGTCACGCCTTTGACGTCGAGCTTTTCTTGAGTTACAGAGTCGTGGCAGTAACGCCGAACAAAGGTATAGCGTTCGATGCAGTATCTAAGTCGTACAAACTGTGGATCTCCACGGATGCATCACCACCTAAGAGCACCTTCTGACCGTCAGTAGCTGGTATTAGTCAACGCAGGTCACGAAGAAAAGGTCCTCCTTTTGTATCGTGCAAACTATACTAATTATAGCTGCATCATCGGATGCAACAATATGGTGTTTGCCGAAACAAACATCGTGTCTTAGGACGAGCTCTTAGCCATCGCCGCAATTCAG